GTTTGCTTTGAAACATTTGATACTTTTACACCAGCCGCACACCGAAACTGATGATAAATACTTCATTTCTCGTAAAGGTGTTTCCAGTTTTGCCTTCTTACCTGCTAAAACATCTTCATCAAAATTCACCTTTGCTTCACGTGACTTAATTTCACTTTCCGCCATGACTAAAATACAAAGGAAAACAAATATTCGTATTCTTTTTGTTCACATTATCGAATCTAGCCATGTTAGTCTTTTTCTAAACCTCACTACCAAACACCATTTTATGAACCTGACTGTCTTGAACTTGCTTAAAGTGAAGGAAACCCGTTTCAATTAACTCCCATGACAACGGCCCGCCAGACCCAGTCAATTACAAAGATGTTAATTTACTTTTCAAAAGCGTGGACAAAGGAAACAATATGAGAGCGTTGATTTCTACAATAGTAAAAATAGGTCAGGCGATAGGGGGTACCCCTTATTGTTTAAAACCTTGATGTGCCTCGTCACCACAAGAAAGTATGACCGTAGTACACGTGAAACAACGTTCCACAAGAGAACGATGAAAGCTTCCATCAGAGGCGTCAAAAACTTGTATTTAGTCTCTGGCAGAAAGGCCAAGTTTTGAATGTACCGGTTGCCTGAATTGCACAAAAGTCACAAGTAAGAGTTATTTAACTGAGCTGGTCGTTTTCAAACACAAAACCGAAATAGAAGATAGTTTTACCTTGATTCATAACATTTACATCGCACGGACAATAAGGCGTAAAAGAGGTGAGATTAAAGAAAGAAGTCAAAACGTATTTCTTCGAACAAGCAGAAAGTTTGCACGCCACCCCCCGGAACACAATACATTGAAACTCAAATTATTCCACAGCACATGAAGACACTAATCCCAGTCCTGATCAAAACAAGTTTGATATACAAATTCAGTGAACATGGCTGCCTAAAAGTTTTGCATATGCACTCTTAATGCCGGCGAGAGAGACTGCAATTCTGCACTTTCGCTGTCGTTCGTTGATGTATGTTTTATCTCGAGAGAAGGTTCCCATCAGAAAGCTAGGCAATTACTTTGCAAACTAATTAACATTTCAAGAGTGCGACCAAATTTGAAAATACAGACGATGAGTACAAGAGTAGAATACCTACCTCAGGCCTTCACCTGGGCTAAACAGAAAACTATAATTCAGATGACTCGGTAGCCTGTGGAGAAAAGTTTACAGCAATTACTGCACGGGTCGTTGAGAAACATTGATAAAGCTTGAGTCTCTGACTCTTCGAAACTTCTGCAAAACGTACGTTACCATGCATTGTAAAACGAATAAATGAGAAACCAAAAGTTGAAGGACAAATAATCAAATAGGGGTTTTTCCCTCATTCCATGAAAGATGAGCGCATCTGGCTCGTGACCTCATAATGTTAATCTGGCGTGTACACGTGATCAATAGTGTAAGAGAAAGGATTCGAAAAGTCGCCTGTCTGTTACTTACTTAATTACTTGGTATTTTTTGTTAGTTTTTCATCTTTGATTACGAATACAACGTTATTGCGCATGTATTTCAACACCAAATGACTATCAGCTACCGTATGTCAATCCGTGACACATCCTGTCTAGTTCTCCTTGCTCTCACTTACCCCACCCTGCTCAGAGGAGTTGTAAAGACAGCTTCCTCGCAAGCTACCTCGCGAATATCACAAAAACCCCTACAACAGTGGAAGTCTATCACGGTTTACTGTTCTCGTTCAGACATTTTCTTTTCCACACTTGATTACTTTAAAGGATTAACATCGTGACAATGTGCAATTCAGACATTCTAAGTCACCAGCGCGTAACGTCATCAACAAAACACACATCAACACCGCTAAAAGTCGGATACGACATAGCTCGACTAAGATCGCCTAACTTGCCTCCTTCCCCTTTGAAAAACACACAGTCGCCCTTTAAAAAACGAATACGAAACAATTGAATATTCGGGTATAAAGTTAAGGCCGGAAAGCACGTTTAATACGGGAACTGGAATGACCTTCAATAAACTTCAGTGATATCAAGTGATCAGTGTCGCAATTTCTGGATTTTTATACATATGACTGAGTAACGTTGCGATAAAACACATACAACAGCAGCATTTTTAAATACTAAGCAAAATTTGAATACTTTATTCCTCACGAGAAACCAGATCTAAGATACAGACAATGCATATGGATTCAAAATGCGTCAACAAAGATTATGCCTCTATTATGTATCGAATACGTACCTCAGCTGAGACCTTCACCTCAGCTGATCAGCCAGAAAACTATGATTCAGATGGTCTCAGATGACTTGCTAGCCTACGGAGAACAGATTACAACATACACGAGTCGTTGAGAAATATTGGAAAAGTCTGAGTTTCTGAATTGACTAGGCCCTTACCGTGTATAGAAAATGACTGATAGCGAAATCAAAAGTTTTACGTACAAATAATCAAATAGGGAATTTTCCCTCATTCCATGAAAGATCAGCGCATCTGACTCGTGACCTCCTCATCTTAATCTGGCTTGTACACGTGATCAATGCAATAGTGTAAGAGAAAGGATTCGAAAAGTCGTCTGTATGTT